ACGAGCAATATTCATGTCATGGACAAGCATAGCCATATGACACTGTTCACTACCATTATAGACACACTCGAAACGAACTTGATCATCATTGCCCTAGAGTCGGCAACTATAGGAGGGGCATATTTCAACAATTGAGTAAACCTCAAAGCATATTATTTCACACTCATAATTCGTTGTCGAATATTAATGAACTATAGCACTTTTGCCTCCCTCATCTCAAGAGGAAAGAACCTATCAATAAAAGCATACTTGAATCTTTTCCATTCAAGGGGACCGACATCTATCGGTCTTGCTTCCTTCCATTGGTTGATCCAAATTTGAGCAACCCCCTTAAGTTGATAAGCGGGAAATTCCTTCTTTTCCACCGGGGTCACTCCCATGATAGTCAAGACCTTGTAAACATCATCAATGAACCCTTAAGGATCTTCCTCAACCTTAGAACCATAGAATTCTGGATGATTCATCCTAGTGAAGTACCTCACTCTAGATAACGTCGTATCGACATTTGGGTTCATAGGGTTCACAACTTCCCTATTGGCTTGGACCATCACGGCTTGAGCCAACACTTGAAAATAAGTCCTAAACTCCGCATTAGTCACTTGCTCGATCAAAGGATCAACCAGAGCTTGAGAAGCTTGAGGAGGAGCTCCTTGTTCAACATTTTCTCCCTTGGTCCTTTTAGCAAAAGCTCTTCGAGTAGTCATATCATGTAGACCATTGGGTAAGGATTATCAGAGAGACCTTATAGAGTTAAACTCTATCGTACAACTTAGAGTAATGAAGAAGTGAAGTTTCCTAAACACCTTGTAGCCTCTCATTCATAAATGTGGCGCGCTTCACACTTATGGACAAGACTCTACTAGACGTGGTTTTGAAACATCCTAGAACTATTCTAAACCTTGTGCTTTGATAACCAAGTTTGTCTCGACCTAGGGGTACACCCTAGAAGTAACATGGCATACAAGACCCCGAGAGGCCTCATATAAGCCACTTAGCTTTCATAGTCAAGATAATAGAAAATGGTAAAAATTTAAAACATTTTCAACAAAATCGAAGTCTTTATAAAATGAAGCAAAAGTCTTATACAATTGTCTCAAAACCATCTAATGCAAAGAGTCATTGGGACACAGCCCATACAACAATGCTCAAAACATAAAAAATCAAAATAACATAAGGAAATGGTGGACAAATCCTCGAATGCTATGATGACTCACCAATCTTCAATTCTTGCCTCTATTAAGATCCTAGCCACGAGGATGAGAGTCGGGAACGTCAGAACCTATATTTGGATAAGAAATGTAGGCAACAGTATACGTTAGTACAAGAATATACTAAATATGATAGCTTGCATCAACATCAACATAAGCATATACGAGTTAAACAATATAAGTCATAAGCATAATCAATGCACATAATATATCATATCAACATAAGAGGAATACCTCTCAAGTAACCTCAAAGCATACTTAGCCAAGACATGGGTAATCCTCCACTAGTCTTACTCATCATAGAAGGAAACCTATAGAAATCATCCAAGCTCATCACATATGATAACATGTTTAGCTTATCTTTTATAGACATGGGGAATTGCCTCATTGCCTCCCTAGGCTCATGGGTAGTCGCCTCTTGCCTTACATATAGGATCATGGGTACTCGCCTCCATGTCCATCTTATGAGATCATGGGTACTCGACTCCATGTCCAACATCATATGACACGGGTACTCGCCTCCATATCATTTCATAAGAAATCATGGGCACTCGCCTCCATGTCCTTCATCATAAGATATGGGTACTCACCTCCACATATTTCACTAATGGGTCATGGGTAATCTCCTACATGCCCAACATCATAATAGAAACCTGGGAGTCGCCTCTTGTTCAATTCTAAGAAATATGGGTAACCGCCTCATATCCTTCTCATTTGGAGGTCAAGGGTAATCGCCTCTAGCCTCATCAATTTCTTAGTCTTTTAGTCTAGATTCATTTTAGGTGAGCAATCCTTTCAACCTAGAATCATTCAATGTGAGAAAGCCTTTCACATTCATACATAAGCAATTCAAGTGGGAACTATCCCTTCCACAACAATTACATCAATGATCAACAATTCATATCACAAGTTCTACTCTCAAAGCACTACATCTCATAATCATCATATATTCTTCACTCTCAAAGCAATTCATAATGTATCTCATTCATCCTACAAGAATACATCTAACCCACAAATTCTCCTTTCATGGCATCAAACCCATTTATATCAAATTCTAACTTAGAAACATGGGTTAAACATGGGTACATGTAAATTCATCCTAAACTCATATAAGCTTATCAATTCATGCATAAACAATCATAACCTAATTCTTTGGATCAACATTCATCAATACCCACAACATTAGAAGAAAACCCTAACTCAAATTAGGGAATTTCTACTTTTTATCATGGAATCTCAGGGGCTCCATGGACGAAAGGATTTCATGAATGAAAAGGCATCATATCTTGCTATCAAAGCCCACAAAAGCTTGGAGAAAGGAGACTTGACCTTGATCCTAGCTTGAACTCTTTCTTCTTCTTCAAGTTCTAGAGAGAGAAATATTTGGAGAGGAAGAATTTTTTTTCTTCTTTTGGGTTTTAGGAGAATGAGTTGAATGAACTAAATTGGGGGTTAAAATCATTTAATTAGGGGTCTTAGACATAGGAAAAATGGCGTAGTATCAATGTATTATAATTAGAAAAAGACCCAAATATCCCTCAACTAACTGTCGACTGCCGACCCACAACTTCAAGACTGATGGAACGTGGACTAACCAATGGTCCGTTCTGCACAAGCGTCACTAGGTTCAGAGAATTTGGGCCTGACCTAAGGACCCATGTACCACAGATTGTGGACCCACCGACGGTCCGTAGGTCAAGTCGTGGTCCCGGCCCTTTACAACTTTTGGGTGGCCAATCCACGGACCAACCTATAGTCCGTGGTCCAACCCACGGGTCGTGGTTGGCCTTCGTGGATGGCACCTGGAAGTCCTGAAACTTGCTATGTTGCCCTATCTCAAATCCGAGGTGTTACAATGACAAACAAGAGAGAAAAAAAGGAGGAAAATAACTATGCATTCATATAGAAATAATTAGTTCAATAAAAGATGATTTAATTAAGAAAATATGTACGAATATTACATTTTTCTTTTGTGTGTACCCAAAATTCAAAATAAAATAATAAAAATTATATTTCTCTTATCCACACCTTCATCCCACCATAACAATAATACAAATTAAAAGAATATAAATATGTGACTTCATTTCAAGTTTGAGTCCCGGATATCCTAATTAAGAATAAGAGATTAAAAAAAGGTATAAAATAGAAAATGAACAAGACATTTGGATAATTGATAGAAAATTTTATTTAATGAAAAAATATTTTTTTTAGATGGACAATCAGTAGTCGGGGTGAGTATGGAATTTAGTTGGATCTCCATTTATGAGTTTGGTTACGTTATAATAAATTGGGGGTTGATTTAAAATACGCCAAGATGAATATCTCATGAAATTAATTATTTTTTTAATATTATTTTCAAGTGTATCGGGTCAAAATATGAATCATAAGTTATTTTATAATAAAATATATTTTAAAAATATCATTTTTATTATTTATTTGAGAAGGGTTTTAATTTGGACCAAACACATTAAGCAATATAATAAATAAATCTTTAATAATTTTACTTTAAGGATGCTATTGAAAATAAGGACAAATATGAGTCAAATTATTAACATTGAGGGTATTTTTGAGCCAAAAGGTAGACGTCAGGAGTATTTTAGGGCCGAAAGGTGGATGAAGGGTAATTTTGTACCAATTCAAATACTTGAAAGGCATTTTAGGCCCTTCTCCGATAAATCAAATACTTCATCCGGAAGTTAACCAAGTTTTAGTTTACGTTCTCGTAAACTCAATGCCATCAATTGGGACCGCATGGATTGATCCCTTTTTTCTTTCTTTTTTTTGTCTTTTATTGTATTTGTATGGTTAAAAAATGTGTCTTTTTTTTTCCTTCAAATGTTGGAAAATTACTGAAATAATTTACGTCGACCCTTTGTTATTGCATGCCTTCGAATATATAGTAGATTGTTGGTGTACAATTTTTCATAATATTAGAATATAATTTTAACATGTTGTAGTCAAATCACTTGTCTTAATAATTTTAGGTTATTAATTTCACTTTTTATTATAAAGTATCATTTATAATATCTTTTACTACATATGTTTCATCAACTTATATATCCTACTTTCAGTTTTAGTCTTTAAAAAAAAAAGAATTATCATTTTTTTATATTCACTAAGTTCTTAAATTTTTTATATAATATTCTCATTTTAATCCTAATAATGCTCATTAGTACGATTTACATGAAAAATTTAAGATGAAAAAATCAAAGGATATTTTTGGTTTATCATACAAACTTTTGATTTTGTATTAAAATGGCCAAATTCAAGTTTTTCTTTACATTCTTGAACATATTGGATCATCAAACTAAGACATATTCTCCCCCTCTCAATTTATGTGACACCTTTATATTTGACATAGTTTAACATGATTTTTTTTTTAAAATAAATAAATTATGATCTAAAATAAAATTTAAATATGTGTGACTATAAATTTATTTCATTCAGGATGAAAATGAAATTTAAAGTTACTCCATCCGTTCATTTTTAGTTGGCATATTGCGCTTTCGAAAATCAATTTGACTAATTTTCAAAGTTAAATTAGATTACATTTATTCAATATTTTAAAATAAAATTTTAGATATTCAAAAACTATATACATTGTAACTTTTTTCATATGAATATGACAATTTGTAGAGGACAAATTTAAAAAAATAGGTAAGTATTTTTATAAAAAGTAGTGTGATGAATAGTGGTAGTGTAATTGGCAATTTAGAATTATAGGCAACTTTAGCCTTTACCTTTTCCATTAGCTGTGTAGTAATGAGTGTGGTAGAAGGACCCCCTGATGACCCTAGCACCATGAAAGCCACATATATATCTATGAATTTCATTTCATTTGTATATGTTCTTCTCTCTCTCTCTCTCTATAAAAGCATATCTGACCAACAAATCAAGAAAGGCGCTCCCATGACTGACCCTAATTTCTACTCCCAAGAAGAAGAATGGCTGAAACTGAATAACCCTAATATTCCTTCTCCTCCTCCTAACAATAATTATTATGAAACTCCACCTTCTCCTCCTTTGAAAGAAGCCCTCCCTCTGCTGAGCTTATTAAAACATGATGATGATGATGATGATGATGATGAAGGTTGTTGCAGTATTAGTGATTTGGACAAAAAAGGTAGAGACATCGATGATAATTCATGTACTAAAGATGATGAAGATGAAGATGTTACAGTAGCACTTCATATAGGTTTACCAAACCCTAGTAGTGCTGATTTGGCCTCTATTCTCAGCTCTAATAATAATAATGATGATTTTTCCATCCCCATGAATATGATAAACACAACTAGTACTAGTACTAGTACTAGTAGACAGTATTGGATTCCCACTCCTTCTCAGATTCTTATTGGTCCTACTCAATTCTCTTGTCCTGTTTGCTTCAAGACCTTCAACAGATACAATAACATGCAAGTGAGTTTTCTTTCTTCAACCGACCCAGATCATTTCCTTTTCTTCTTCTTCAATAAAAGATTGGTTTTTTTCTCTTTGGAGGCTCAGATCCAAACAAAGACTTAATTACTACTCTCAAATCTTTCACTTATTAATTGTTTCAGATTCCATATATTTTACCTAAGACTTGATGGAACTTAACAGCTAGCTACTAATAATTATATAGATCAGATTTCCACAACACGGCAAATGTTTCATTACATCCTTTGAAAAATACTGCTCACCAGTCAGGGATCGGAATTACTGTTTATAATTAGTAATTAAAGAAAATTCTCCTGCCCAAATTATTGATCATTGTCACTGTCTAGCTATGTACGATCGTAGATTTGTTGAATTTCTGCATCTTTTTCATTTTTAATTTGTCAATACTTTGATTTCTTCCTCTCTTTTTTTGGCAAATTAAGGAGATGGTGATTACTGGTATTATTGCATTACAAAATTACATACAAATGCACTATATAACACTTTATTTGAGTATGTCATATATAACAGTCATATAAGCTAGCTTGTTCTAATAAAATGTAGTATTCCATAAAATCAATAGTATAACAAAGATGTTGAGAAAATATATATGAACGTAACCATTGATAATTGAAATCTTGGTTAATTTTTTTCTCTGTTGAAGAGATGACCCATCTCATCTACAATCTTAGCCTATCAGAGAAAACATATTCTTAATTATGTCTGCAACACAATCTCTGACGGACCTAATATTTTTCTTTTATTAAATTGAGTGTCAGATAATAAAGGTAAGGTTCTTGTTACTCTGATATTATATTTTTAAACTTGTGTGACTATTCCATCTAAAAGCTTAAAATATATATATTACTATTTTTGTCCGGATTTATGTACAGATTTTCTTATTTGATAAATATTTAATGAAAACATAAAAGCTAAGTGTAGTATTGTATTTAAAAAATCATTCAATTTGTGCAAGATCTTCCCATTTTGTTGAGTGAATTATATATTATATATATATGTTTCAGATGCATATGTGGGGGCATGGATCTCAATACAGAAAAGGACCAGAATCATTGCGGGGAACTCAACCAACAGGTATGCTTAGGCTTCCTTGTTATTGCTGCACACCTGGGTGCAGAAACAACATTGATCATCCAAGAGCAAAACCATTGAAAGATTTCAGAACACTTCAAACACATTACAAAAGAAAGCATGGAATTAAGCCCTTCATGTGTAGAAAATGTGGAAAGGCATTTGCTGTTAGGGGAGATTGGAGAACACATGAAAAGAATTGTGGCAAACTTTGGTACTGCATTTGTGGTTCTGATTTTAAGCATAAGAGGTCTCTTAAAGATCATATTAAGGCTTTTGGTCAAGGACATGGACCTTATGGGATTCATAGCTTTGATGACGATGACGAAGATCCTGCATCTGAAGTTGAACAAGATAATCCCCAACACACTCACTCACTATGAGGAGGTGAGTTCGATCATCTATCTATTTTAATTAAGTAAAACAAAAACATTAGAATTTAGCTAGCTTATATATATATGTACATTTGCTTTCAGCTTGTACTAGCTAGTTATTTGCTACCTCAATATAATGTTGTATTCACCTTTTTGAGTAATTGATTGCTCGAATTCTGATGATGAAAGTTAAATTAGACATTGTGATGTACTACTACTTTATCACAGAAACAAAACCATATGATATGGGCACTGAACATGGGAAACACTGCCCGTAAAGTATGGGAAAAACATCTCCATCAAACATGTAACATATGTGTGGGACTTAATGTCCAACCCAAAACCACCTACCTTATTTTTACCATAACTATATATACAAATCAATAATACTCTTAACAATTTTAATTTCATAACATCAATACAAATTACTTCATCTTTACTTTTAAAAGAAAACTACTTCTGGGGACTCGGGAAATTACCATAATTAAGTGATAAATTGAGATTAAAAATTCATCAAGTATGTATTAATTAGTCATGTATGGTTTATGAACTTTATGCAAAAGACTTTTACTATGCATTTATTGATTGATGCAAAGTGAAAAAAAATTGGTCACCTCAAGCATGATGATATATATACGTAAGTGATATTGTGTTTGGTAAAATATTTTCACAAATTTTTATTTTTTTTGGAAAATAGGTGGTTTTCTTACTTATTTTCTAGTATTTGTTAAGTAATCAAAAAATTAGTAAGCCAATAATATTTATATTTTATCTATCAAAATATTATGGAGGCGGGATGTGATGGAGAGTGGGGATTCGGAGGTGGTGGGGGTTGGGGGATTGGATGTATGGAGAAGACAATAAACTTAGAATATTACTTATGCAACTTGTTTTCCCAATTTCCAGGAAGTAATTTTCCTTATTTTTAAGAAACTCGTTTTTCTAAAAAAAATATGTTCCAAATATAGAAAAATTTCTACCAAACACACCTTAATAATTGTTTTCCGATCGCCAAGTACGTATATCGTCCGGCCTACGACAGTCTCCTATGAATCCTCTTCCAACTACCAACTCAAATGCAAAGTTATTTCCATTTGAGTGTAATAAATATTTCACTTGATAATTCTAAAAAGTCATAACGTAGACATTTATGAGAAAAGTATGATGACCTTGCACCACTTATTTATTTATTCAATAATACACTCCCTCTATTTCAGTTTATATGATTTACTTTTTTTTTTAGTCGGTCCTAAATAAATGAAATATTTCTATATTTAATAATAATTTAACTTTAAAATACTTATTTTATTCTTAATGAAATATGATTTATAGTCACACAAATATTTATCACTTATTTTAGATATTTATAGTCACACAAATATCTATCACTTATTAAGATCACAAATTTCAAAAGTCTTTCTTTGTTTTTTAAACTTCGTGTCAAGTCAAACTAATTAACTCATACTCCCTTTGTCCCTAATTATTTGTCCACTTTTGAATTGACACACCTATTAAGAAAATAATTAATGACATAATGAGTTTACCATTTTACCCTATTAATTATGAAGTGGATGAAAAATTCTACATTTTTCAAAGTAATTAATTATTTAATTGAGGGTATAATAGGTAAAAAAAATTGACCTTTCTTGATTTGTCAAAATGGACAAGTAATTAGGGACAATTATAAAAGGAAAAGTGGACAAGTAAATAAGAACAGAGGGTATAAAATGGGACGGAAAGAGTATAAATCGGATAAGAAATGATTACTGGGGTAATCAAGACTAACTTTTCTCTTCATGATGTTAATCAGTTCATTGGAATGATAAATGAATGCTTTAAAAATGAGAAAGGAAATTAGAGGATTACTAGAAAAAGACCATCAATAAGGCATCTCCAACCCAATCCTCTATTTTACTCTCCAAATATAGAGCTCTCTATTTTTTCAGACCATCAACTCCAACCCAATTCTCTATTTTACTCTCTAAAAAGGAATCTTTTTCTCTCTCCTCAATATTATATTATTATTTCTATTTCATTCTTATTTTCTTATTTCATAATATAAATCATTTATTTCTTTTTTCCCAAATAATTACTTTATATAATTTTTAATGTGATATGAAATTATTGGAGCCTCTACGGCATCTTGAATTGGTGCATTGAGATCACGTTCATCCTCAATTATCATGTTGTGCAGTATAATACATGTAGTCATTATATCATGTAGCACTTCCTTTCTCCAAAAATGTGACGATCTTGCAATAATTGCAAAACGTGATTGCAAAAAGTTCGAGGACAAGGCTCTACTTTGCAATCGAGTCTGAGGCTCCTAGTCCTACATCACCTATAGTATCATCTCCTAACTTATCATCTTTTTCACTTAATTTAAATGAGAATTTTTCAGGTCATTACACTTCATTTGAACAGCCTATTGGGGTGAAGAAATCAAAATTAAAGAGATCAAAAGATGAAGGTCTTTCGTCAGCTAAACTTTTCAAAATCGAAAATAATCGACTTGGGAAGATGTTATCAGAGTCTGCTACATCCAAACAACAGGACGGCGAAAGGCTAGATAGATATATCAAAGCTAAGGAATTTAGAGACGAAACTAAAATTTTAATGAAAAATTTAGAAACTATTAGTGATCCAAATGTTCGTGATTACCTGCAATGAGAACAACAACGAATACTTGAAAAAAGAAATCGACAATCACAACCACAATCGCAACAATTTTCGGAATCATATCCTAATTTTTTTCCGAATAGTGCTAAATCTGGAAACAACCTACCGGATTTCTAATTATTGTTGTGATCAATTAATTATTATGTTATGTATTGTATTTTATCTTGTATTTAAACTATTTATGTTATGCATTATATTGTATTGTTATCTTGTATTTAAATTATTATGTTATGTATTGTATTGTTATCTTGTATTTAAATTATCATATCATGTATTGTATTTTTAAATTAAATTTTTTTCATCTTGCCATTTTTAATTTTTGCGTATTCTTTATAATGAAAATTAATAATAAAATAAAATTTTATTATTCACGAAAATTAGAAAAAAAATACTATTAATTTGAAATTAAAATAGTATATATTAAATAATATTTTAAAAAATATATTATATTGCATTTAAAAGAGAATTATGAATATTAGATATTTAATTAATGGAATTATATGTAAAATAATATGTTAATTAGAAAGTAATAAAAATAATAATAAAATAATAAAATAATGAAAAAGTGAAATAGAGAGTGTGAATAGTAGTTCTCCAAATTTGAAGAATTACTATTCAACTCTCTAAATTTGAAGAATAGAGGGTGATTTGGAGGTGGGTTGGAGTTGCCTATTCTCTATTTTTACTCTCTAAATATAGAGAATGGAGAGTAAAATAAAGGTGGGTTGGAGATGGTCTTACACTGTATTCTAGTTTCCTTTCTACTAATTTGTTGAAGATATGGAATAAACAAATTATATGGACTCTGCAAAAAAATCATGAATAAGAGTGTATTCTAGTTTTATCAATGATTACATGCATGCAATTATAAGGATGATCCAAGTGGGAAATCTGTTTTCTTTCTTTCGACTTTAATGATTCATTATCTTCAAATTAATTATTTCTGAATTTATCTTCTGTACAGTGATTTAAGTATCTTGAAATATAATTACCACTTAACATGTAACATACGTCATTTCCTACGTGATAACCCAAATAAATTCAGATTGGAATCCTATTAAATACGGATTTGTATCATATATAAGTATCTTCCTAAATATATTGTTCTAGTAATTTTTCAAGTAAGAAAGTATATATAGGTGTAAGGGGATAACAAGAGAGGGAGAGCATATTTTCCAACCAATATATTGCTGTGACATAAGCTTTTCATCCTGCAAAAACAAGCAGCTTTTGAGGTGCATATGATACCCTTTTCCTTTTTCCTTTTCCTTTTCCTCGGTTAGTGGATGCATGTGTATCTTAATTATATATGGAATATATACCATTTCATATATAAATATTCACTAATATAAACTAAAATATTTTCCAACTGATAAAAAGAATTTCAACAAAATTAAAGGATCAATTCAAGTTGTACATACTCCTGACTAGTCCAAACAAAATCTCTGTGACCTAATTATGTGGATTCGTGTATATCGGATCAATTTGAATTTGGAAGTACGAGAGCGTACAAAACAAGACTTTTTGAATATCTTATTCATACTCATTACTCCTTAGTTTAATATCATTATATTAAAAATAGTTATTCTATATTAGTTGAATATTATATTAAAAATCATTGTCCCATATTAATTGTTCAATTTACTAAATCAAGAAAGCATTAATTAAATTATTTATATATTACGTTTGCAATGAATTGTTTTTTAAAGTATTCACATTTATTTATAAAATTTCAAAAAAAAAATTAAGCAGTGAATAAGTAAAAAATAAAAAATAAATTATGATTTCTTAAGTATCATACAAATAAAAATTAATCAACCAATATGGTAGGAGGAAATATAATCTTTCTAGAAAGGCTACGAATTTTGGAAACTTAAATGCTCAATCGAAGAAAGCAAATGTTATTCCCTTTGTCCAACATTACTTATTCAGTATTAATTTTGCACATTTATTAAAAAACTATACAAGGATTATTTTGCTATATCACCCTTTGAATATAATAAATGCATTGTCTTGAAAAATGCAATAGGAAATAACTATAATTAATGAAAATGATAAATTAGAAACTAAGTGTAAAATTATCTATTGATTTGATAAAGTGGACAAGTATTGTTGAACGTTCCAAAATAGTACAGTGGACAACTATTATTCGACAGACGAATAGTTTTTTTTTAAATAGCTACTAAAAAAAGTTGTAAGATGTACTAAATCTTTCACTATGCACGGTTCAAAATTACAAGGGTCTTACCCTTAAGGAGGTACTCTCTCCGTTCTATATTAGTTGATCATTTTTCATTTTGCACGTTACTGAAGAAATCATAAATAAGAAGATAATTTTACTAATTCACCCTTTATAAAATTTAAGAATTTTACAAATAGATGTGCACAATTTCAAAAAGAATTAATTACGAAGGTAATATAGTAAAAATTTAATTAACGATTTTTAAATTTAGTAAGGTGATCAGCTAATATGGAACAATTATTTTTAATATAATGATCAACTAATATGAGACGGAGAAAGTATAATAAGAAGTGAAATAGTATACAGTTAAGTCAAGGATTGCATTGAGTTGCAAAAGCAGAACATTTAAAGTTAATACTCTTCCACATCCATATTCATAAATCATTTTGGTAAATGTTATTACAATCCATATATGAAGAATTTATTCTCTAACACGTGTTAATGACAATATTTGGACGAGTTCTTTGGAAGATTTTTTTGTAGAAGCTGGATTCCGACGATTCGTTCACCCTGGAAAACCCCTCTATAATTTGAACTTTATTTTTTAAAATAAAATGGTGGCACAACTATAGCTTAAGTTACGAGTAACATCTTAAATCTCTTATTTTAGCTTCAGTTAAGAGAAGAAACACACGGAGAAAAATACTGAATTTTATTTCATTTTCATACCATCTCAAAAAATATTAACCCTTTAAGTTTGAAGCAATGAGTGAAATAGGTCATACTCATAACAATGAAATCTTATTGGCTCAGTTACTTAACTATCCGAAATTTCACTTTATTGATAATTGACTCACTGCCTGGTATCCCTTTCCCAGGATCTATTTTTTTTAAAATAAATAAATATTAAAATAGGCCACAACACTATTAAACCCCTTGGTAAACATTTATACAACCGAGGCAGAAAAAGTCTTGTGTTAGTCCTTTGATGAGTGGTCTTTCAATAAAATTTGGATAATTATTTATTTATTGAAATTGAGTTAGACATGTATGTCTACTTGATATTTTAGTGCAGGATCCGTTTCAATTTTTATTTTAAATGTTAGTCCCATATTAAATTTTTCATTCTCTACATTATTTTAAGATTATAATTTTTGGGCTAATTCATCCCACTAGTCAGATGAGGAGAGATAAAGTTAGATATCTCATGAATAAGTTTGAAATACAATTTATACGGCATTTGATAACATAAGATAAATTTATCATAAGATATAAGTTTATATCGTCTACCAAATGCAGTATAAATTTTATGTCAATCTTAATTGTGTGATATTTCACCTCATCTCATGTACCAAACGACCGCTAAAAGTATGTGGTCTCTTTAATTTCAGTCGAATAATTCTCATTTTTTTTATTTTTTTTTATATCGAGTTAAACCCAAAATCTATAACAAATGGGATTATAACACACTTCAACAGATTTTACGTCAACATATGATCAGCAAAGAAATATTGTTTACTTTTATTCAAGACTTTGTTTAATACACTGTTAAAAAATAGTTTTTACAGTGCATGAAATTAATTGGCTAGAAATCATAGTGGCTTAGAAGTAAAAAGAAGATAAATCCACCAGGTAAAGGGTTGATAAGATAATCTAAGTGCATAAGTTTTAAAACTTGACAGGTTTAGAGTATGTTTGGATTGTTTTTTTTAAAAATGTTTTTAAGTCAAAATAGTTTTTAAGTATTTCTGAAGTGTTTGGATAACTGAAAAAAGTGCATATAGTAATAAATTTTAAGTCAATTGATCAAAATAAATCAAAAGTCATAAATTAAAATTTCTGACTTATGACTTTTAACTTAAAAGTTAATTACGTGCAAGATGTGCCAATAGAGTTCACTGAATTAAGGGCCGTTTGATCATGATTAATTTAAATTAAGTTAATTTGAAATTAAATTTTATTTAAATATGTAATTTGAATTTTAAAAGTTGTATTTTTTATTTATAAACATAAAAATCTTAATAATGTGTGAAAATTATCAAAATTTCTAAAATATAATCTTATTAAATAAGCAATCATAGTTCATAAATTATAAATTATGTATCAAAGTATCTTAAGACATCTTATTTCATAAATCACATATCTGCGTATTTCTTTTATATATAAATAAATAATTGCAATATATGTTATTTTAAACTTTCCAATACACATAATTTTATAAAATTCCACTGATCCAATAATTTAACAATCATAGTACCTAATTACTCTTTAATATAGTTTTCTCACATATTATAGATAATTTGTTCATCTCAAGCATGAATTATTATTTTTCCGCAAGATTTTGAATTATGGGACAAATTTTAAATTTTATTTAAAAAATTAAATTTCAAATTACTTACTCCAAAATCAAATGCCTAGTAAAGATAATGAATGGTGCATTTGTTGCCTCCTATATACAGTGATATAACAAAAATCCTTGTGAGTTTTCTAAAAAGAAACGAAAGAATGAAAGGACATTTCAATATATACAACATGTTGAATTTATTTGAACGTATCACCTTTTAGTTTTGGAATATATATATATATATTTCTGCCCCTCAAAAAGTTGCTTTAAGAACAATGATGGCAGTGGGGAATACCATGAATGTAACAAACACAAAATCTTGATGATTTCTGAGTGTTGTGCCAGTCCACAGTCAAAAAAGAAAATCAGTCTTTTATTTGATTGTGTTGTTTTTTCACAAAGTCACTAAATATCCAAACGCATTAATGTTCAAACTACGATACCTCGGTTTCAATTTATTTGTCAAATTTTATATTGACACACCTGTTAAGAATATAATGTAATTAATATAGTGAATTTATT